CTGATCTGTAAACGGAGACACCAAAAGGTATGTAACCTGCCGAGGTCTCATGCTTAGTGAGAGGTGAGGTTGGAAGAAGAAGATAGAGAGGAGAAAAGAGGAAGGAGGGAAAGAGGAGAGGCAGGTTTAAAGTGAAGCAGAAAGAGAGGGCTGGGAAGGTGGCTCAGTGGTAGAGTGCTTGCCTTTCATGCCTGAGGCCCTGGGTTCAATTCCTCAGCACCACATAAGCAAAAAGAAAAAAGCCAGAAGTGGCGCTGTGGCTCAAGTGGTAGAGTGCTAGCCTTGAGCTGAAGAGCTGAGGGACAGTGCCCAGGCCCAGAGTTCAGGCCCCACGACCGGACCCCCCCCCCCAAAAAAAAGAAAAAGAAGGAGAAAGTGTAAGAAAAATGTAAGCAGAGCCTGTTGGGTGAAAAACACTCCAGCGTCACCTGAGGCAGCGTCGGGGTGCGGGTGATGACCCTTCGTAATCCTGCAAAGGTGGAGTGTCATCATGAGCTCTCCTTTAGTTCAAGCTGGTTCCCATTGTAACACATGAGCAAGTTTGGACTCTTACCAAATCCCTTAAGGAATTATTTACCCTTAGGCTTGATGTGTAGCACACAAACAAACCACAAGTAGAGCTGAAGAAAACCACTCATGGTATTTCACATCCAGACCTCAAGTCTCCTTCCTGCAGAGAGTCCCCAGATTCGTGCTTCATGGCCTTACCTATCCAGTGTAAATTATTGCAGAAATATTACACAAGAAGTTATACTTGGGCTGGGAAGGTGGCTCAGTGGTAGAGCGCTTGCCTTACATGCATGAGGCCCTGGGTTTGATTCCTTAGCACCACATAAGCAGAAAAAGCCGGAAGTGGCGTTGTGGTTCAAGGTGGTTCTAGTGGTAGAGTACTTGCCTTGAGCTGAATTGCTGAGGGACAGCGTGCAGGCCCAGAGTTCAGGCCCAAAAATTGAACATAAAAATTAAAAAAAAAAAAGAAGTTATACTACCATTGGTGTCTCCAGTCATTGTCGGACAAAATTATTTATGTCTGAAATTGACTTAGAAGGCAAGACTTGGAGTTGGAATCCCAGTACCACCAAACAAACAAACAAAAAACCCTACCAAAAATACAAAAAAAAAAGTTTCTGTTAAAAAAAATAAAATTTAACTCTAAGAGCAAAGTCCTTGTAACAATATAAAAAAATGCTGCATAAATTATAGTATTTATTCACTTAGTTAGGGATATGTTTCTTATTTCTGCTGTGATGAACTACCACAACTTCAGAAGCTTCAAGTAGAACAAACTTATGTTACCTTTCCTGAGGTTATAAATTCAAAGGGTCAGTAAATACAGGTGATGGGAGGGCTACTATCCATGAGGAAGCTGTAATTGGGACGAAAGAAATGTAAAAAAGAGCCTTCTCAGAATGACACTGTAGTGAACCTGTTTCTTGGTCTTTTTCAGTTACTTGAGGCCACCTGCATCCTTTGGCTCCTGGTCCCTTCCTCCATTCTTCAAGGATGGAAGCATGGCATCTTCATTTCCCTAAGCACAAACCTTGCTTCTGTCATCGCTTCTGTCATCACATTTCCCATTCCAGTCAGCACATCCAACTCTGGCTCTGCTGCCTCTTCTTGATATATTGGATCCACATCGGATCCATCTGACTTCTCCAGGATAATTTCCCCAGCTCAAGATCCTTAAGTATATCTGCAAAATCCCTTGCCATATAAAGATTACAGAGTTCTGGGGCTTAGAACATGGATATCAGCAGTAAGTGTCTCTAGAATTTATTTTTCTGGCCTGGTGGTAAATTGTGATTCTCAGATCTCACCCTCTTGAGTAGCTAAGATTAAAGGATTTGAGGTATGAGGCACCAGTTCTTGGCTCCAAATGCTTTTTTTTTTGCCCATCAAAAAAGCAGGTATTTTAAGAATGCAATATTAAACTGAAAATAAAAAAAAGATATTCCATTCCTTTCCTACATTCTTACCTACATTTACCTCAATTATTCTTGTTCTTCATTCATAAAAGACCTGTTTTCAGCATAATGCTAAGGGTATTAGCATTTTGTATGTCAGATTTTAACACTACAAAGTAGTGCATGTGAAACATCTCTCATCATTTGGCCACAAGATTGTATTAAAACTGATAGGCCTAAATTTAAAAATCAAAACAACAAGCCAGGCGCCGGTAGCTCACACCTGTAATCCTAACTACTCAGGAAGCTGAGATCTGAGAATCACGGTTCAAAGCCAGCCTAGGCAGGAAAGTCCATGAGACTCTTCTCTCCATTAAACCACCAGAAAACTGGAAGTGGCGCTGTGGCTCAAGTGGTAGAGAGCTAGCCTTGAGCTGAAGATCTGAGGGACAGCTCCCAGGCCCAGAGTTCAAGCCCCACAACCAACCAACTAAACAACTTCTACCACTTCTCTCCCCATATAATTCAAAATTTAAAGCAAGCATAACTTTAAAAAAAAAGACTAATTTGGGTAGGCAAGTTCTAACTTTTCATCTGGTGACTACTTTTGACTACTTAAAATAAATTATCTGCTTTAAAAGTATTCTTATTTCTTTGGTGTTTTAAGCTTGGCTAGTGTTCATGCTTTTCTGTCAGTGCCCACTGGATGGACAGAGAACTCTTCATTTTGAATTTGCTTATGAAGTCCAAAATGATGGGAAAGTAAGCTACTTTTCCGCAACCTAGATCTCTTGCTGCATTTGTTCTAGCTCCATCGGGTAGCTAGGTAGGTAACTTTGGGTAAGGGTTTTAATATATGTAAGTGAAGCAGGAATAATGAAGTATGTGTGAAGGTAGATGAGGAGAGGAAAATATCTTGTATGAAACTAAAGTTCTCAGTGCACTTCAACTATTAATAGTACTTTTTCTACTCCTACTTGCCACTCATGAATATTCAATACCACTAAATACCTATAGCGTTGCTAATTTTCAGGCTATTTCCTAAGGAAATACAGATGGGAAAATCAATTCTGATCTCGTCAGTTTATAGTCTAGAGACAGGTTTTTAAACAAGCAAATGCAAATATCATAAACTACTAGATTTACAAGGGAAAAGGCCATCGTAGACTGGAGGTGTGTGTGTGTGTGTGTGTGTGTGTGTATGCATGTGTGAGCACATGCAAAAATGACTACTAATCTCTTAAGGTAGAAATTTCTGTGTGTGTGTGTGTGTGTGTGTGTGTGTGTGTGTGTGTGTGTGTATGCATGTGTGAGCACATGCAAAAATGACTACCAATCTCTTAAGGTAGAAATTTCTCTGAAACAATGTTATTTGACTTTTTGTTTTTATGGGGTACTAAAGAATCGAACCTAGGGCCTCATGCATACTAGGCAAGCACTCTACCACTGAGCCACATTCCCAGCTATTATTTGATTTTCTTAGCACATTTTTTATAACTTAAAAGCTAAGTGCTCAAATGGGTAATTGTTTTAGGGAACACTGTCAGATACTTATTTTTAAAAAATATTGCTTTAAAGGTAATACTTTTTGACACATACCAGTATGAAAAAATGCTGTCAACAGCAGTTCTAAGACACCATTGGTTGTGGTTATGCATTGTGTTCAGAAAGGATGTGTGAAATCAATATATATGTAAGAACTGGCCCAGGCTCTAATCATAACTAGTAAGCTACTCATTTATACTGGATTCTAAATTTATCCTGTATAGTGCTTTGTCCATATTCTCACTCATCCATTCAAAAACTGACACCTTATGTTACTATAAAGTCAAATCCAAACTGGGTAGCATGGTGTATATAACTTTTTGTACTATCTCCTACATCATTACACTCAAAATCTTTATACTACCCTAGGATTGGCTGCCTTCAATCCTGTCCATCTTAATTTTTCCAAAAACTTTTACCCTTTCTTTGGAATATATACTCTAATAGTTTCCCTTGAGTATTTAACTGTTATGTATTATAATGGTCTTGCAACTGTTGTCTCATAGCCAAAAGGCCTTAAAGAAACTTTTTATCTGAAACTACCTACATTTTGTAGTCCCAAGGTTCATATAACCACCCTAATGTACCAGATTTAGGTTAAGTTTCAGAAGACCAAATAGTTGCAAAATAGTTCACAATCCTCATTAATTATATATGCTTCAACTTTTTTTTTTTAACTATAGCTTGGTATTAGTGTTTTATTATTTTTTATGTGGTACTGAGGAATGAACCTAGGGTCTCAGACATGCTAGGCAAGCACTCTGCCACTAAAGCCACATTCCCAGCCCCTTAAATTTTTTTTAAGTACGAGCCAGGCATTGATGGCTCACACCTGTAATCCTAGCTACTCAGGAGGCTGAGATCTGAGATCGTGGTTCAAAGCCAGCCCAGGCAGGAAAGTCCATGAGACTCATTAACCACCAGAAAACTGGAAGTTGTGCTGTGGCTCGAGTGGCAGAGCACTCACCTTGAGCTGAACAGCTCATGGACAGTGCCCAGGCCTAGAATTCAAGTCCTATAACTGAACCCCCCGCCGCCCAACCCCCGCCAAAAAAAAAGTATGAAAGAGTAATGCATAACTATTATTTGTGAAAATAATGCTTCTAACAAAAAAATTAGTCCTTACTTATTCATAGGTCTGTATAGTGAAATGTTTCCCATTTCTATGGCAACTTTTGCCCACACTTTTCATCCACGCCACTATCCTTTAACCTTCTCTATTCACTATATTCCTTTTAAACAGCAATTTCCCTTTCAATACCTGAAATCCACTTCTTTTTGTTTTTTTTTTTGGGGGGGGGTCCGGTCATGGGGCCTGATCTCTGGGCCTGGGCGCTGTCCCTCAGCTCTTCAGCTCAAGGCTAGCACTCTACCACTTGAGCCACAGCGCCACTGCCGGCTTTTTTCTTTTTGCTTATGTGGTGCTGAGGAATCAAAACCAGGGGCTCGAGCATGCAAGGCAAGCGCTCTACCACTGAGCCACCTTCCCAGCCCTGAAATCCACTTCTTTCTCATAACCCACCCTGATACAGGAGAGGCCACATGCAAAAATAGGTATTAAAATTAGTTTATTCTTCTACTTAACTTTTTAATAAATGAGAAGGAAACACAGTAGTCTGTCTCATATAGAACATTTATAATACATAACAATCCATAAAGCCTCATGGTGAGGTAGGAACAGCTTTGGAAAATAACACAGTCATAAAACGTACAAAAGGTTAAGAAAAATGTTGCAGCACTGAACATTTTGTCTGCATCTGCATTGAGATGATAACTGCATTTAACTACACTGCGTCTAGCCCGGAAGAGGGCCAACAGCAGACACAACAACACAATAGGGAAGTTTCTAAAGAATCACAGAATACACTGATACACTTCATTGTGCTGTTTCAAGGCAGAACCATAACATGGCAATTGGTGTCATTATATATATAACCACATATGAATTGTGTGTTACATTCCCTTCAGCATCTTTATGCCAAAGACACTGAACCAGAAAATTTTTGGTTTAAAAGTTTAAATTCAATTAACATACAAAAAGCTCTTGTGCCAGTGAAAATGGCTGCTGAAATATTCCAGAGCTAGTTAGCGAAACAAAATAGCATTGCCACATTTCGGTAGAGCTACATCGAAATAGTGCTATGACAACTCCCACTTCAGAGACAGTGAAACACTGTATGACACAGTTTTAATTTAAAAAACAACAAACAAAAAACCCTCCACCACCTCCAAGACTTTAACACTGTTTTACCACTTAACTGAAACTCAGTATGAAAATAAATATTTTTATATTGTAGAATTCTTTCCCCTATCTGTGTGTGAATGTTCAGACAGCAGGTTAATGACATGCTTATCATTCAAATGATAACCAGTTACAAAACAGTAGAAGTCTTCAATACCAGTTACCCCACTAAACACTTCACATTAGGCTCCATAGGTCTTTTCCCTCAAAACTTTGAAATTAACTGAGAATGCTAACAAGACACAAACATGTTAATTAATATAGCCTTGCACCTACTGTTTTTTTCCAAGGTGCACTTGATAGAAATTTTTCTTATTCAAATTACATACCTTAGGATAAAGTTATGCAGCATTTTGTTTTCTAAAATGCTAAAACACATACAGCAAAACTTTTGAAGATTTTGTTTTTCAGGCTCTAGTCCATATTTTTACAATTGTAGATACGCTCCTTTGGAGAAAAAGAAACAGTCATGCCAGCTACAAGTTGACAATGGAGAAGTCAATCTCTTACTAAGGCTGCATTTGGCTTGGAAAAAATATCTGGTGGGTTTTTAATGTAGGTGCATGCAGCACCTTGTTCTCAATAAACCTTAGAGACTATAGACAGGTTTCTAAATACATATTCTACACTGATTTTGCTCAAATATAAAAGAGCTAGTAGTAGGAGAGATGTGACTCCTGAAACTGATGCAGTGTGATTAAACAGCATATTTAAACAATAGGATTAAGTCTTAAAAGAATTCAGGGTATTTCCCACATTTTCTCTCAAGAAGATATTTTGGAAAAGACAAATTTTACAACATTTAAATATAATAGTATGTCTTTTTTCCCCCTTAAAGATAATGCTAATAGCTAAACATGGGTTAGAAAGTGCATTGTAAAGAAATAAATAATTCTCTGCTAAAACTCAAAAGGTGAAGTCAGTGCCCAATGATTTTGCAATGACGAAGTCCTTTGAAAAAAAAAAGATCCTATGGTACCACTCTGTTACATGTAAGCTACTTAAAAGAGTAAGAAAGTGAAATAACTAAAACCTAAATGCTATTATCTTCTAAGCACTTCTGAAAAAGAAAACACAGCCCTTGTTCCATGCTTTTATGCCATTTCTAAAAACTCTTACTCTGATGTCTTGTACTTGGGTATTATCCCACCTTTCAGGCAGACCCCCAAACAGCATTTGTAAAGAAAACCCCACTGAATGAAATACATTTACTAGTTATTCTATTGTATCATTGTTGAAATGTTTATATAACATTGTTTTAAGATCTTAGAACATTCTGTAAAAATGTTAACTTAGGAATGTGCATGATACAGTACAATTTGCAGCTCTCTTGTTTTTCCAGATAGATCCCTCAAATTTAATATTTGAAAAAAACCAAACCTTTCTGTGAAACTCAAAGTAACTAACAGTTAAAGAATTACACAATACTAGGAAAGAACATCAAAAGATCAAGGTGTATATTGTAAATTGGCAGGTTATGGTTTTGGCCATTATAGTAAATGCAAGTTTACAAACTACGTTCCTAAAATTACCCTTTGCAATGGAAAAATTGGCTGTTCTTAAATAGGCCCATTGCCAGCAATAGGCTGATACCAGGGGAAAAACACACCATTTACCACAAAAAAGATCATCCCTTTAAAAAGTAACTGTATTCCAACACTTTCATCTTAAGACCTATTAAGCAATGCATTATTTCAAAACCCAAAAAGGTAGCCTTCCCAAAAGTAGTAAGCTATAAAAGTTACTCAAGTAGTCAGAATACCTTGTTTCTAGAAAAATAGAGCTATACATGATAACTGACATTAATATCCATTCTTTTGAGGACAAAAATCTACACTTTCTGCACAAAGCATAACCCTTTCCTATCAAGAAAAATATAACTTAAATACTCTTAAATATTTGTGTGGGATTTGACATCTATAGCAATAATGAAATAGTCAAGAATAATTTCCTGCGTAGATATTGTGACATCCTGCTAAATAGTCCACTGGTGGAAGAGCTAAGCAATGTCAAGACACAATGACTTGTAGAAGTTTTAAAATTTTTTCTTAATTATTTTGTTTTCTAAGAACTTAGCATCCACATTTCATTAACCATCTGATATTCTTTTCTCTCAAGTCAGTGGCTCCAACAAATTACAAGCCTTGCTGATTGTGCTTGAAAAGCTGTTCTAATCTATTCATGATTTATCATCATGAAGTGACTTTTTAACTTTGAAGTCTTACTTTTTTTTTTTTAACACAATTTAGAAGATTACGCTAACATTCTTCAAAATATTTGGATGTTTGAGAAATCTTTCAGCTGTTTCTAAAACCAATCTTTCAAAGAGTAATGCTGGTGAACATGTCCATGTTTTAGACCAACTTTGGTAGAATAAAAAAAGTTGAAAATCTCAAAATAGTTTATACAGTTGTAGTCTGAATATTAACATCATAATCTAAATAATGAGTTTAGTAAACTTTCTTCCCTGCTCTTAGTCCTTATACGCCCTATTATGTGTAAACGATAATTCAGTTTGTTAATTCTGTCAGTTTCTTAGATTAATACTCAGAAATATGGAATACAGACTATATCTAATCTTATTTCCTGGAATAGCCATGAGTCACTCTTAAAATATTCTGCCATTATGCTATGTAATGATCTCAAAGGGCAAGTAAATATTACCTAAAATGTCAAAGGAAACAAACTTGTTGGTGATTTCAAAGGTCTTACCAATTATAATTCTAATAAAGAATAACAATGGGGGGGAAAGAAAAGCAAAGAAATTCCAGTAACAATTTTATTTACCCCCCTAATTTTTAGCATAGGAAAACCAGAAATCAAAATGTCATTATGCCATATAAGGTTTATACTTACTTTAAACAAAAATGTAACATAGTGTTAAAACTGGCTTTCAAAACTGTTACAGCATAGCTGCACTCTGCGCTAGTAATCACAAAGTTGTAATATAGAACTCTGTTATGTAGTCCCATTATGTTCTTACAAAAATAGAATTAACCTGTGTGACCAGACAAGGACTTCAATTACACTACTTGGCAAACTTAGAATTTCCTCTTGCAGTTTTAAGCAAAAGTCAAATATCACATCTTTTTCAAGACTCACAATGATGATTCAGGTTGTTTGTTTGGCACTTTTTTAATCTCTATCACCACAGCAGGGATGCCTTCGGATTTAGTCCTCTTGGGCTTCTTCTCTAGATTGTCACTAAGTTCTAAACAAGAAATGCTAACTGTCGGGGCCTTTTCTGCATCCTTTCCAGAAAGGACTTGTGGCCGTGTCCCACAACATTGCTTCAGAGCACACTGAGTTCTGCAGGCAAGTTCACACGGGACTACGCTTGACTTAGAACCTACACTAGCAAATTCAGGCTGAATGGTAGTAGCGTGAATTCCGTGGTTATGGAAAACGTCTTTAATGGTTTTAGCCACCTGCATGTATGATGCTGGGTTTTCACATTTTATGTGAGCAGTGGCAATTATTCTGCTTCCAGCAAGTTGCCAAACATGTAATTCATGAACTTCCTCAACTCCTTCAACTTCTCGAAGTTCTTTTAACAAATTTCGGATATCAATCTGTTTAGGAACAGTTTGTAGAAGAATAAGAGCAGATTCCTTAAGTAATGGATAAGTTGTGTAAAGAAGTATACAAACCATTACAATACAAAGAGTTGGATCTAAATATAGCACCCAGCAAGGACCAACCTCATGAATTGGTGCATAAGTACTATTAATTTTTTCTACAAACATTTGGCAGGGATCAGGGGAACACGGGTTCACACAAAAGTCTGTTTCAGAACAACCTTTCCAAGAAGAGTAAAAAACCAAGGCATTTACTACTACAATCACTGAACCCAAGGCATCTCCAAGAACATGCAGAAAAACTCCACGCATGTTGAGTTGTCCAGCCCTATCGTCTTCTTCCAGTTCCATGTGGTCAGGCTCTCCGATAAGATTCCCATTCACTTGTAGTTCCACTGAATCATCATTTCTGGGTTTTTCTGGATCTACAAATAAAAAAGATAAATACCAACTCATTCAAAGCATCTAGATAAACAAGTATCGTGTTTCATTCCTTTCAAGTGACAATGGTAAAATTCTTTTCATAAAGCACGATAAAAGTATGGTCAGAGCCATTTGATATCAACTGACACTCTGGAAACAGGTCACATCATATATGGGACATATATGGCCCAGGGTTAAGTCATGATAGTCTTTCTCCACCCTGCTATAGACCCTTCTACTCCCACTCCCGCCAAAAAATAAAAAAAAAACAACATCTTTTCTGAGGGAACCTGATCAAATGTAGATTTATCTGCTGCATTCTTTTTGGACTATACAAGGGAAAACATAAATGTGAAGACTAATATCCAGTAAATGCATCTGTGGATAAGTCCACTAATACAAAATGCCTGATTGACACTGGACTCTGTCACTTAGGTTGATTGCGAATAAAACCAATTCTAAATATTTATCATGAATACAAAAGATAGTCTCCTGGTAGAGAGGGTTTAAAAATTGACGAATCAACAACATAAATCAGCAGTTAAGGAGATTATTAGTAAAATTGTAACTAAATGAGCACCACCTACTCTAAAAAAGCTTTTAAGTCCAAAGTATTGATCTCGTAAAGGAATTGCACTACACACCAGAGTAGCTTAGTTTGCTCTGGAATAATGCGAAGAAATCCACCATCTATTAAGACTTTTCAAGACACAACTTGCAACTAGGTAAACAAATTCAAATGGGACAAAACTCAACAAATGCCAAAGTATTTTAACATCTTTAACATCGTAGTGGTTTTTTTCATTTTTCTCCCCAACATTTTTCTCCCAAGAGCATTTTAAACATCATTTTCAGAATGAAAAGCACTCATGAGAAAAAATATGACACCGATACATTACCATCACTTATATTTTAGCACCATTACTCCTAGAGAAGTAAATGTTAAACATGCCCAGACAGGTCTCCGAAGCCCATGATTTTCAGGATTAGGGGCCAATTAACTGGAAACATGCACTGCTGTTCATAAAGGAAACCTTCAACCAGGGTTTATAGGCTCTGCATACCCCAGCATGGAACTTGTTCTATGCGCCCCTGCGCTACTTTAGCAGAGTTAAGGTTTCCAACACCTCCACACCGAAGCTGATGGGGGGGGAGGGGGGCGGGGAGGGAGGTGAGGGATGTTCTTCCCCGTTTCCCAAGAACTAAAACCGGGAAGCATTTCTAATCCCAAGCGACCCAGAAGCGCTCGGATTCCGTGCTAGCCGCAACCAGACAAGTCAGTAGAAAGGACAGACAGGTGCGGTGCGGTGCGGAGCCGGGTGACAGTCACCTCGGGACCCTTCCTCCTCCCACCAGACCCACAGTCCCCAGACCCAGACGTCCCACATGCCCCCCCCCCCGCAGGCTCCTCCCAACCCCGGCTGGCTCCGGGTGCGGGGCGTGGTGGGAGCTGGCAGGCGGCGCGCGGGGCGGCGCGGGCGCCAGGGGGCGTGCGGGGCATCCCGCCGAGGGCCGGGCGGAGGGTCCCCGGTCCCCAAAGGTCCCGGAGCCAACCACCTGCGGCGGACGCCGGCTGCCCGCTCACCTGCCGGGTCCAGTTTCATGCCGTTGGAGTTGCTGGTATTGGCCACCAGGGTGTTGGTCTCCTCCTGGTCCGGCCCGGGCTCGCCGGGGGCCGCGTTGCCGTCGTCGCCCCCGGTGCGGCCGGTCTTGGTCCGGCTGGCCTTGGGGAGGCCGTGGCCGTGGCCGTGGCCCCCGTGCGAGTGGCCGTGGCCGGCGTCCTGGCCGAAGCCGCTGTGGTGGTGGAAGAGGCAGAGCCCCAGCACGTTGACCATCAGCCCGGCCACGCCGACCCCGAGGACGATGAGCGGCTGCTGCATCTCGTGCGGCTCGATGAAGCGCTCGATGGCCTCGAGCAGGATGGCGAAGCAGAGGCCGGTCAGGAAGATGGCGTTCACCAGGGCCCCCATCACCTCGGCCCGGATCCAGCCGAACGTGTTCTTCTGGGTGGCGTGGGTCCGGCGGGCGAAGCGCTCGGCCACCAGCGCCACCACGAGCGCCAGCACGTCCGACAGCATGTGGAAGGAGTCGGAGAGCATGGCGAGCGACGCCGTCACCCGGCTCACCACCACCTCCAGCACCATGAACATGAAGGTCAGCATCAGCATGCACACCAGCCGGCCGCGGTTGCGCCCCCAGCACCCCATGGCGGCGGCCCGGCGGGCGGCTCGGGGCGCCCCGCACCCGAGCGGGGGGGGGGACCGCGGAGGGACCCCGCCCGGGGTCAGGCCCCGCCGCGCCCCGCGCCGGCCGGCGGCCCCGGAGGCGCCGGTCCTACGAGCCGACGCCGAGGCCCGGCGCGCCGCTCAGCCCGGCGGCGGCGGCGGGGCGGAGGTGGCGGCAACGGTGGCGGCGGGGAGCCGGGGCTCGCGGAGCCCGAACCGGAGCCGCAGCGGGCGGACTGAGGGGCGAGGGCGGCCGGGAGCTCCGCGCCGAGAAGGCTCGGAGCATCTGAGGGCTCTCGTTACCGGTCTCCTCCGCGGCGGCTGAACTGAGGAGCCCACGGCTGAGGCGCTAAAAAAGGCGGCGGCGGCGGTGGCGGCGGCTGCACTCGGCCCGGTCTCGGGCGCCTTCTTCGCCGCCACCCCCCGCCCGCCTTTGCAGACGGTTTACAAAAAAACTTTGCTTTGCACTCGGAACCCCCGTTTTCACACGGACCCGAGCGTGACAAGGCCCTGGGCGCCCCGCCCTCCAGGCTCGGCACTCGTTCCCATTGGTCAGGATGCCCTCACGACAGCCGACGCGTCCCGCCCAGCTTCGATCGCTATTGGGTAAAATAGCCGAAGGGGCGGGAGGAGGGAGGAGTCTAGGCTGTAACTGATGGAGGCGGGGCTTTTTCCTCCGGGAGCGGGGCGTGGGCCGGGGGGCCGTGGCCGGGTGCAGCGGCGGGCGTCGTGGGGGGAGGGTCGAGGTCGCGGGCCGCGTGCAGCGCGGTGGGGGGAGGGGCGGGGCGCCGGCGGGCCGGGCCCCCTGGGCGAGGTGGAGTCCTGGCTTCCCGCGCTGCGGGTCTCGGTTGGAGGGGGGGGGGTGTTCTGCGCACCTGCGCGGCCGGGCTGCGGACAGACTTTGATCCTCGCAGTCGCGTCCACGTGGGGGCGAGCGGCCGGGCGGCCGGGTGACAGCTCGGGCGGCCTGGGAGGGGCGGGGAGAGGAGCCCGGCCTGCGTGAGCGCCCTTGCGTCCGGGGAGCCGGACCCGAGGCCCGCGGACGCGCACTAGACCAGGGTGGCTGCTAACTCCGGGAACTCGGTTCTGCACCTCCGCCCCACGGTCCGGACCCAGTCCCTGTAACTGCTCGGGGGAATGGCCCACCCCGTCACCATCTCCCCAGGTGACCTTGTGGGTAGGTAGGCATTTCTGTCACTGATTCTCTTGGGACCCTGTAGGGCCCAGACTTGGAGCGGGAAAACCCTGGTCTCTGATCGTTGCCTCCTTCCTAGCCAGGTGAGTGATCCCCCCTCCCCGCCTCGACTCTCTACACCTGTTTCCTCACCTAGATAGTTCAGAATCGGCCAAGTGGAACTCCTGAGAGTCCATCTATCCCCGAAATTCCAATGCTCTATGATTTCACACTATTTATAGACGGCAAACAGCGGAACCCTGTGTTGGCTGCGGGGTGGGGGAGGGCAGTGAGATACAAAAGCACGCTCTCCGACCTGACACACACACACGCAGGCGTTGTGGGCATACGCGCATGTATGTTGAGCGGGGATTAATCTGGGACTGATGATTTTCTGCTCCAAGGTCGCTTGAATCATGAAGGGGTGGCCTGAGCTGAACCCTAATGTCTTAACACAGCCCTTCAAGGGCCTGCCCTTCCTCCCCCCCGCAGCTGATAAAAGTCCAGTGTATACCAGGCTTGTGTGGAATTGTGTTATTTTGCAGTTTTTAAGTGTTTTTATTTCTTTGGCTTTCTTTTGCTGGTCCTGGGGCTTGAACTCAGGGCCTGGGCACATCCTTGAGCCTTCTTTTGCCCAAGGCTAATGCTCTACCATTTTGAGTCACAGCTCCACTTCCAGCTTTTTCTGAGTAGTTTTGGAGATCATTTTTATTTTGCAGTTTTTAAATATTGTCATTTCTACTTTTTTCCCCCCCCAATTGAACATGATTTGTTTCTCATGTCCCTATCCAAACTGAAGAGCTAGATCTTTGTCTTCTGTTTTATTCTGCTGGAATAGAAAGAATGAAGGAAAGTTTCCAACACTGTAAAGAAAGAATTGACCGAATGTGATGATTAATTGGGAGGAAGAGAGGCCGAGGGGAAATTCAAAGTTACAATGTTTCTAACCTGGCAAAGAAAATACTGCCTTACACAGTTAAGGAAGTTGAAAAGTTACTATTAAGGAGTAAGTACTCAGTTCCATTTTAATATAATTTTTCAAATTATCTCGTTGTACAAAGCATTTTCCATTCAACAAGTCAGCGTAAACTCCATTTCCTCCTTTTTAGCGGGAGGGGCATGCACATCTTTAATCCCATCTAGCCAGAAGGCAGAGATGAGATCTCTACTTCCAGACCTGCCTGGAGAAAGTGAGAGCCTCAAAAACAAAAGGGCAACGGATTTAGAAGTCTCACACCTGTAATCCAAGCCACTCTGGAGGCCAAGATCTGAGCATTGCTGTTTGAAGCCAGCCAGGCTAGGAAAGCTCATGAGACTCTTAACTCCAGTTAACCATAGAAAAAGCCAGAAGTGGTGCTGTGGCTCAAGTGGTAGAGCTCTAGTCTTGATCAATAAAGGAGCCCAGGGACAGTGCCCAGGCCCAAAGTTGAACTCCCAGGTGGGCAAAAAAAAAGCAGGGGAGGGGCTAAGGATATACCTCAACTAGGAAGCCCTAGATTCAGACCCCTTTAACATTGATGATAAAGTGGCAATTTTCTGGTGACTGCATATAAATACAGCTTCAAACCTCCTTCCAACCAGTACCTTCTATGTAGAAATTTGGAAGCCAGTTGTAGTTTAAGATATCTTCGAATCCTAATAGGATTGATGGGAGGCAGTTGGCTGACAATTTTGACTCTTAGGTTGCCATGTGTGGCCCTTTATTTACAATAAATAAATGATTCCATATGTGAGAATTTGATACCCAAAGAGGAACCAATAGAGCGACACGAAAGACAAGCAGGGGCCACAAACAAGGGAGCAATGTTTTAATCTTGAACTGGGTAGGAGCTGCTTAGATTTAGATAAAAGTAAGCAGTTAGGTGTAACTCAACAGCTACGGAAGAGAACCTTCTTTGCCCACACCTTTGAACCATTTTCCTGGCAACTTGCTCTATTCCTTCGTAATCTGGTGGAGGCAGGGTGGGGGCCAGACAGGATTTCATTCAGGAGATAGAAATCAGAGACAGTAGCACCTCTTACACAGCAGCAAAACATTTCAAACTTGGCTTCTCCTTAGCATTTTGTAGGCAAAACACTTTGGTAAGCTTGACTCGAGATTTTTAACTCATTGGCCTAGCAATTTGAACACAATCCAGGTGGATTAAAATGAAGGTAAACCACACCATTATTTATAACACCCATAGAGGTTGTGGTCCCTGTTGGACTAAAATGATTTGGCTTTTTCCTCCTCATTTTTGAGAATCCTCCCATAATTAGCTTAGCATCCAAACTGATTAAACTCAGCATACCTTAAAGATGAGGAAATAAGACTTCTTAGAAAGAGACTGCCAATTTGAATACAAGTCAAGGGATTAACACAATCTACAATCTCAGCTCTCTGAATTTCTGCCCTCAGTGAAAGTTGCGAAGAACCTTGTAGGATTCTTGTGAAACCCACGTCTGAATTTAAGTTATCAAAAATCAGTGTCTTAAGCTGTGGCTTGCTTGCATAGACAGAAGAGCAAACTATATGAAAGCCAGATTGCATTTGACATCAGCTAATATTAGATCACATCTAATGTTAAAGCTTAAGGAAAAACTAGTGGGGAAATTAGGTTTTGATTTTCAGTTTTTCATCTTTCAGAATGAACTTGAATAATTATTACAGATACGGACTGAAATCTCTAGCAACAGCATGAGAGCCAAGATTTGTTTTTTTTTAGCTGCTCCCAGAGGAAAGGGCAATAGAACAAAGAATAAACAAGTAACAATGTAGTAATAAAACCCAGAAACAGTACAAAAGGTCTCAGAGGTATAAGGAAAACTACATGAAAGAAACACTCAAAGCAGGAAGCCCACTGGAAGGAAAGGGAGAAACAGCAATACTGTGGAAAATAGAATATATTAAATAAGCCCAGGACAGGGCCAAGTTTTTTATGTTTGTTGGTTAGGCTAGAGAATCGCAGGTGACATTAGCAGCAAAAGGAAACTCATTTCTCATGGATATTAAAAATCAGATTTAAGTTCTGCAGTCATGCCTAAAAATTAAATGTAGGAAAAAATAACATCTATATAGACAGGCTCATTGAAGGCATTTGCCTTTATTTTTGTGCTTGTATTAGGACTTGAATTAAGGGCCTGAGTGCTGTCCTATAGCTTTTTTGCTCATAGCTGCCAATTTACCCCTTGTGCCACTTCCACCTGTTCGTTGGTTAATTGGAGATTAGAATCTCATGGACTTTCCTGCTTGGGCTGGCTTTGAACCTCAAATCTCAGCATCCTAAGTAGCTAGGATTGCAGACATGAACACCAGCACCCAACATCTTTGGGTTTTTACATTTTGAGATATAAGGTTTTTTTGCCCAGTCTGGACAGTGAACCCCTTATGTAGCTTCCTACATAGCTGGGATAACAGATGCCTGACACCATACCTAGATTTTTCTGTTGACATGAGGATCTCAGATATATTTTGCCTGGGCTGACCTTAAACTCTGATCCTTCTGACCTCCGTCGCTATAGCTGAGACTATATATGTAAGCCACCGTGCCTAGCTGAAAAGCTTATTATTTAAGACTATAGTTGTCTATAAAATGACACTAAGGAGCGTTATTGAAAGACATGAGTTTTAGGATAATCAAAAGTTTGTGAAATTGGCCATTAAAAGTTAACAGTGTGCCTCACTTGCCCTTCTTTTCAGTGAGGGGTTGGTTATAAGAGATAGCGTCTTAATTGAAGTTAAGAGGATAGAAGGCGGAGTAGCCTGCTTGATATTTTCAGGTGGTACCTTCTCAGCCACTCCTTGGGGTCAACATGAATCTAAGCTGAGTTCTCAACCAGCAGATTCACTACTGTATTTTTGTGT